TGTGTGTGTGTGTGAGAGAGAGAGAGTGTGTGTGTGTGTGTGTGTGTGTGAGTGTGTTTGTATGTGTAAATAATACAATCTGAAATATCAAGTGTCTTGGAGTCAGGGAGAACATGTTTCCTGCACCAGTTGTCATGGTGGATTTGCATATTCTCGTTGACATTCAGCCTCGGCGTCCACACGACCCTCACCAAACGCCTGCAGAGATCTCACTGCGAGCACCACGAGGGGCCTCGGGCTCCTGGGAGCCTCACCAGCACTGAGAGGCTGTTCTTCTGACCCTTTCCTGCTCTTTTGTTAGAGCTGAAACTGAAATAGAGCTGCAGTGATGCTTCATAAGGCCGTGTTAAAGCTGCTCTGCCTGCTCAAAATTCTGTGTAAAGACACAATGCCGCTTAAAAGCCTGCTCTGACACACCTCGGCCCCTAATGTAAGCATAAAGTTGTATTTGCATCTGCAATGTAAAATGTATATAAATGCATTTATGCCACCTCTGAGCAGCATTAAACAGTCACATAAATACCACTTCAGAAGTGCTTCTGTGCCACCTTTGCAGTGCAAATTTAGCAAAAGACAAGATCTGACATCAACTCATCCTCACTGAAGCTCAACAGGAGACTCTTTATCACTACACTGCTCTTATTGTGCACGTTTAACATGTTTAGCAGGATATTACTGATGCTCGTTTCTACAACAACAACAGATGGTGATTGATTCTGTGAGGCTCCAAAACAGACAAGTAGATATGAAAAGCTCATTAAAAAAAAACTTTTTATCATGCAATTTTGACTTTTCTTCTCAGAATTGCAAGTTTGTATCTAGCAGTTGCAAGTTATAAAGTCTCAGTATTCTAAGTTTACATATCGCCAATTTGACTTTTTTTCCTCGATATTACTGATGCTCGTTTCTACACCAACAACAGATGGTGATTGATTCTGTGAGGCTCCAAAACAGACAAGTAGATATGAAAAGCTCGTTAAAAAAAAAACTTTTTATCATGCAATTTTGACTTTTCTTCTCAGAATTGCAAGTTTGTATCTAGCAGTTGCAAGTTATAAAGTCTCAGTATTCTAAGTTTACATATCGCCAATTTGACTTTTTTTCCTCGGAATTAATTTTTTCTCTCAAGAAAAGACTGAGTATTCTAAGTTTCAGTAAAAAAAAAAAGTCAAAATTACATTTATTTTTTTGTATTCC